TTGGTCCAATTTCCATACAAGGCTTTTGCTGACTTCTTCGTTCTGACTTTCCTTTTTCTTTGAAGATGTGGTGACTACTGATGGCTAAAGGCGTCCAATTATTTGGTTATTGTGCTCCGTGTTGTATAATTATTTGGTTATGAAAAAAACTTATTGGTTTAACTTGAATTCGACTCGCGGATCCCGTCTTCTTGATTTGACTATAATTATAATTATTGATTTCGTAAGTAAGTAGGTGTTAGCTTGCAGTTTTAAATAAATAATTTCGATGTACCAACTTTGTACCAGTGACCTAGATATGAATTTATGGATACCATATGACATCCCCCCGTTGCGGAAAAATTGCGCCCCGCGAATTCGTTACCTATTTCTACATCTAAATTTACAGGGGTTAGAAATTCACACAATTCCCTGTTTTATCTTAATAGCCCTTTAACGTCTAATACGTGACAACACTAACACTGAGCACAACCTTCTTCTATTTCTATAATTTCTTCGGTGCCTTTTATTGACAACCAGTCAGCAGAAATAGATACTACATTCATTTTGATTTGCCGATAATACCATGACCAAAACACGTCGTCCAGCAGTGGCACATTTACTTCTTGCAAAATGAAATAACCATACCATTGTGACCTTCCCTTTTGTGACCAACCATATTTGTTAACGGAACGACTCTTCCAACTTACTGCGTCGTCATCTTCATCTTCGCATACCATGGCGAAGTAAACTTTAAGAACGTGAGTATCACCTAAACCTCACTTGCAAGTATTGGATTAATCCTTCTTCCGGGACGACCATCGCAGGTCCAAATAGGTAGTACTCCTGGTGCTCATAAACTTCGGTATAGGGGCAACATGGGCAACGCAACGCCAGTGCTGCTTACACTTGACGATTCCCGAACAGAGTAGATCCTTGGACTTTCTCGGTACTTGTTCCCAACACGTCCTAAGAAGACTGCTTTGCGCAAACAAATTACACCTTTATTTAAATAAGGACTTACGCTGGCGAGAACCATAGTAAAACAACTCGCCAGAAACTTGACGATTGCAGAATCCATACTTGAGGCGCTCCTTTTTTCCGTAAATATTTTCTAAGACACCATATTATCACTTGGTTGACTATAGGGAGTAGGTACTGAGACATGTTTTGGTATGTAGAGCTGGAAGGGTTCATTGGTCCAATTTCCATACAAGGCTTTTGCTGACTTCTTCGTTCTGACTTTCCTTTTTCTTTGAAGATGTGGTGACTACTGATGGCTAAAGGCGTCCAATTATTTGGTTATTGTGCTCCGTGTTGTATAATTATTTGGTTATGAAAAAAACTTATTGGTTTAACTTGAATTCGACTCGCGGATCCCGTCTTCTTGATTTGACTATAATTATAATTATTGATTTCGTAAGTAAGTAGGTGTTAGCTTGCAGTTTTAAATAAATAATTTCGATGTACCAACTTTGTACCAGTGACCTAGATATGAATTTATGGATACCATATGACATCCCCCCGTTGCGGAAAAATTGCGCCCCGCGAATTCGTTACCTATTTCTACATCTAAATTTACAGGGGTTAGAAATTCACACAATTCCCTGTTTTATCTTAATAGCCCTTTAACGTCTAATACGTGACAACACTAACACTGAGCACAACCTTCTTCTATTTCTATAATTTCTTCGGTGCCTTTTATTGACAACCAGTCAGCAGAAATAGATACTACATTCATTTTGATTTGCCGATAATACCATGACCAAAACACGTCGTCCAGCAGTGGCACATTTACTTCTTGCAAAATGAAATAACCATACCATTGTGACCTTCCCTTTTGTGACCAACCATATTTGTTAACGGAACGACTCTTCCAACTTACTGCGTCGTCATCTTCATCTTCGCATACCATGGCGAAGTAAACTTTAAGAACGTGAGTATCACCTAAACCTCACTTGCAAGTATTGGATTAATCCTTCTTCCGGGACGACCATCGCAGGTCCAAATAGGTAGTACTCCTGGTGCTCATAAACTTCGGTATAGGGGCAACATGGGCAACGCAACGCCAGTGCTGCTTACACTTGACGATTCCCGAACAGAGTAGATCCTTGGACTTTCTCGGTACTTGTTCCCAACACGTCCTAAGAAGACTGCTTTGCGCAAACAAATTACACCTTTATTTAAATAAGGACTTACGCTGGCGAGAACCATAGTAAAACAACTCGCCAGAAACTTGACGATTGCAGAATCCATACTTGAGGCGCTCCTTTTTTCCGTAAATATTTTCTAAGACACCATATTATCACTTGGTTGACTATAGGGAGTAGGTACTGAGACATGTTTTGGTATGTAGAGCTGGAAGGGTTCATTGGTCCAATTTCCATACAAGGCTTTTGCTGACTTCTTCGTTCTGACTTTCCTTTTTCTTTGAAGATGTGGTGACTACTGATGGCTAAAGGCGTCCAATTATTTGGTTATTGTGCTCCGTGTTGTATAATTATTTGGTTATGAAAAAAACTTATTGGTTTAACTTGAATTCGACTCGCGGATCCCGTCTTCTTGATTTGACTATAATTATAATTATTGATTTCGTAAGTAAGTAGGTGTTAGCTTGCAGTTTTAAATAAATAATTTCGATGTACCAACTTTGTACCAGTGACCTAGATATGAATTTATGGATACCATATGACATCCCCCCGTTGCGGAAAAATTGCGTCCCCGCGAATTCGTTACCTATTTCTACATCTAAATTTACAGGGGTTAGAAATTCACACAATTCCCTGTTTTATCTTAATAGCCCTTTAACGTCTAATACGTGACAACACTAACACTGAGCACAACCTTCTTCTATTTCTATAATTTCTTCGGTGCCTTTTATTGACAACCAGTCAGCAGAAATAGATACTACATTCATTTTGATTTGCCGATAATACCATGACCAAAACACGTCGTCCAGCAGTGGCACATTTACTTCTTGCAAAATGAAATAACCATACCATTGTGACCTTCCCTTTTGTGACCAACCATATTTGTTAACGGAACGACTCTTCCAACTTACTGCGTCGTCATCTTCATCTTCGCATACCATGGCGAAGTAAACTTTAAGAACGTGAGTATCACCTAAACCTCACTTGCAAGTATTGGATTAATCCTTCTTCCGGGACGACCATCGCAGGTCCAAATAGGTAGTACTCCTGGTGCTCATAAACTTCGGTATAGGGGCAACATGGGCAACGCAACGCCAGTGCTGCTTACACTTGACGATTCCCGAACAGAGTAGATCCTTGGACTTTCTCGGTACTTGTTCCCAACACGTCCTAAGAAGACTGCTTTGCGCAAACAAATTACACCTTTATTTAAATAAGGACTTACGCTGGCGAGAACCATAGTAAAACAACTCGCCAGAAACTTGACGATTGCGGAATCCATACTTGAGGCGCTCCTTTTTTCCGTAAATATTTTCTAAGACACCATATTATCACTTGGTTGACTATAGGGAGTAGGTACTGAGACATGTTTTGGTATGTAGAGCTGGAAGGGTTCATTGGTCCAATTTCTATACAAGGCTTTTGCTGACTTCTTCGTTCTGACTTTCCTTTTTCTTTGAAGATGTGGTGACTACTGATGACTAAAGGCGTCCAATTATTTGTTTATTGTGCTCCGTGTTGTATAATTATTTGGTTATGAAAAAAATTTATCGGTATAACTTCAATTCGACTCGCGGCTCCCGTCTTCTTGATTTGACTATAATTATAATTATTGATTTCGTACGTAAGTAGGTGTTAGCTTGCAGTTTTAAATAAATAATTTCGATGTACCAACTTTGTACCAGTGACCCAGATATGAATTTATGGATACTATGTTACAATATATTGTTTGATAATTTTTTTTGCATCCAAAGGCGAGATCACCCAAAGCACGAAGACCGTAACATTTCCTATCTCTTGTTACTTACTACATGGCTGCCGACTGGAGTGCATTACATCTAATCAAATTTTTCCTATTACCGTACAATAATAACAACCTAGATGTACATAATTATTATTAGGTACTCAGCTTAACAAACAGAGATCAAGTCCTAATTAATAATGTAAAAGCAATATTTGCTCCCTTTGATTGATTATTTACCAGAACTCAAGTTGAATCCGTATGCGAAACATAATAACATACGGAAATAGTGTAGCTAATTTAAGCCGTGAGTTGGTGGATGTAGATATAATTGAGTGAGTTTAATACACGCATTAACATACGTAATTAAATTACTATTCACATGTTACAACATAGACAATTGCCTAAATTAAGTCTGAATCAGGTCCATTTGATAAACAGTAATACTACTACGTCTATTGAAATTTGTGAAGACAGTCAAAACACATGTATATATCATATGTATATTCGTAGTAAAAAGAAACAGTTAAACATATACATATGTATACAAGGATATACATATATATATACAAAAAAAGTTGCTGTTTACTCTTTTTATGGTTGTAATTTCAATAAATATCTATTGTAATAGCTTTTTGGAATGAAAATAAATCAGATTGTGTGAAGGAAACAATAAATAACCATCAAAAAATAATCAAACAAAAAACTAATCAAAATCTACCCTATTTCAACGTTTTTGAACTACAAACAACAGTTTATTTATCTTTTGAATAATAACATGATTTCTCTTACGTTTCATTTTTCCCATACGTAAAACTGGCGTTAATTGTTTCCACGGAAAATTGCTAAATTCGTTTTAAATTTATTCTAAAGAACAAAACCATTCTGTTTTATACGTAAAGAAGATTTAAAGCGAAAGAAAATCACCGTTTTGTTTAATTTAATCCTACCTTCACTCAGTTTCCATTGGTATTCTATTGTCATAATTCCAACAAAGCCGGCCGAAAATAAAGGCGAAATGGTCGATAGCGCCCCTAACACTCAAAATCTGTTAAGCATACAATTTGCATGCCTTCACTCATTAAAATTCATTTATGTGTATCCCTTAAGCTTTGTTCTTTTTGCCTTAGGATCTTGTCAAGTTGCTTGGTCGCTATATTTATTGGCAGCTGCGATCCTGCTCCTAATAGTGTGTTTCGGTCTAAGTTTTTGGACATCTCGGGTGGGAGTCGGGTCGTTCCGGATCTGAGTATACAGCGCAGGCGCGCTGCCAAACATCAACGCAAGCGCGCTATTATCAACAACATAGGAACGAAACAATTCGACCAATCGCAAAGCGTCGTGGATGTGGATAATGTGACGTCAGTCAGTGAACATGCCCGAAAGGTTACGATTGGATCCGATTGCTTACTACTCTCACCCGCTATGCTAGCCTTGGATGGGTGTCGGTTCGATGAATTACCGAAGTGTTTAAAACAGGCTGATGCGAAATTTTGAGTTTATTTCAAATGGAATGTAGCATACAAATGTAATATACTATAAATATAATTAGATCTAAAAGAACTGTTGATGGGTGTACATAATTTAGCGTACGCCATTGAAAACTGTCGTTTGAAAATGTGAGATTGAGTATGATAAGAGCTCTATTTTTCTCATTTAAAAAGTTGTAGAGATAAACGAAAATAAGTGGTTTATTTAAAGTCGTTGTAGATTCATAGATTGTATAGTCTACATTTAAAGTGCAAAAAATGAATTTGTAGAGATACATAACACCCCACACCTCCAACCTTGTCGTTTTGTAACTATCGAAAACAGTTTCAAACAATTACCTTTATGTGCAACTTCAATAAGTATATTGAAAAATTCATTTCATTTTGGTGTAGTATTACAATTGTATTATTTCAATTTAAAGACATGGTTACCTCCTCCTCGGAATATTTTTTAAAAGCAACTGTTCGATAATTTAAGTTTAATGATGCAACTACAATATGTGTCACCTGTGATATTTCTTAGTCTTTCTCTTTCTACTTGTTTATAACAACGCTAAATGTTTAAATAATAAAAGTCGTACAGTATTATTACAAACATCTTATTATCACCCTATTCACCTAAGCCTTTAACTGAGCAAAAGTGGGCATTTCGTTCAAGAAAACTTCAATCATATCTACTTAAAAAAAAAGAAAAAACAAAAATTCGCACTTAGTGATAGGCTACTTTAAATTAAACGGGACTATCACATTATTTTATAAAATCTTCAATTCATATACCTATTGGACATACACTTTTGCTCCGTCCTATCCTAAGCCAATCTACTCATGTCCCTAAAACTACAGCAACAACTTGCTTCACTAGGTGTTAGCTTGCAGTTTTAAAGAAATAAGTTAGACATACCAACTTTGTACTAGTGACCTAGATATGAATTTATGGATACCATATGACATCCCCCCGTTGCGGAAAAATTGCGTCCCCGCGAATTCGTTACCTATTTCTACATCTAAATTTACAGGGGTTAGAAATTCACACAATTCCCTGTTTTATCTTAATAGCCCTTTAACGTCTAATACGTGACAACACTAACACTGAGCACAACCTTCTTCTATTTCTATAATTTCTTCGGTGCCTTTTATTGACAACCAGTCAGCAGAAATAGATACTACATTCATTTTGATTTGCCGATAATACCATGACCAAAACACGTCGTCCAGCAGTGGCACATTTACTTCTTGCAAAATGAAATAACCATACCATTGTGACCTTCCCTTTTGTGACCAACCATATTTGTTAACGGAACGACTCTTCCAACTTAATGCATCGTCATCTTCATCTTCGCATACCATGGCGAAGTAAACTTTAGGAACGTGGGTGTCACCTAAACCTCACTTGCAAGTATTGGATTAATCCTTCTTCCGGGACGACTATCGCGGGTCCAAATAGGTAGTACTCTTGGTGCTCATAAACTTCGGTATAGGGGCAACATGGGCAACCCAACGCCAGTGCTGCTTACACTTGACGATTCCCGAACACAGTAGATCCTTGGACTTTCTCGGTACTTGTTCCCAACACGTCCTAAGAAGACTGCTTTGCGCAAACAAATTACACCTTTATTTAAATAAGGACTTACGCTGGCGAGAACCATAGTAAAACAACTCGCCAGAAACTTGACGATTGCAGAATCCATACTTGAGGCGCTCCTTTTTTCCGTAAATATTTTCTAAGACACCATATTATCACTTGGTTGACTATAGGGAGTAGGTACTGAGACATGTTTTGGTATGTAGAGCTGGAAGGGTTCATTGGTCCAATTTCCATACAAGGCTTTTGCTGACTTCTTCGTTCTGACTTTCCTTTTTCTTTGAAGATGTGGTGACTACTGATGACTAAAGGCGTCCAATTATTTGTTTATTGTGCTCCGTGTTGTATAATTATTTGGTTATGAAAAAAATTTATCGGTATAACTTCAATTCGACTCGCGGCTCCCGTCTTCTTGATTTGACTATAATTATAATTATTGATTTCGTACGTAAGTAGGTGTTAGCTTGCAGTTTTAAATAAATAATTTCGATGTACCAACTTTGTACCAGTGACCCAGATATGAATTTATGGATACTATGTTACAATATATTGTTTGATAATTTTTTTTGCATCCAAAGGCGAGATCACCCAAAGCACGAAGACCGTAACATTTCCTATCTCTTGTTACTTACTACATGGCTGCCGACTGAGTGCATTACATCTAATCAAATTTTTCCTATTACCGTACAATAATAACAACCTAGATGTACATAATTATTATTAGGTACTCAGCTTAACAAACAGAGATCAAGTCCTAATTAATAATGTAAAAGCAATATTTGCTCCCTTTGATTGATTATTTACCAGAACTCAAGTTGAATCCGTATGCGAAACATAATAACATACGGAAATAGTGTAGCTAATTTAAGCCGTGAGTTGGTGGATGTAGATATAATTGAGTGAGTTTAATACACGCATTAACATACGTAATTAAATTACTATTCACATGTTACAACATAGACAATTGCCTAAATTAAGTCTGAATCAGGTCCATTTGATAAACAGTAATACTACTACGTCTATTGAAATTTGTGAAGACAGTCAAAACACATGTATATATCATATGTATATTCGTAGTAAAAAGAAACAGCTAAACATATACATATGTATACAAGGATATACATATATATATACAAAAAAAGTTGCTGTTTACTCTTTTTATGGTTGTAAATTCAATAAATATCTATTGTAATAGCTTTTTGGAATGAAAATAAATCAGATTGTGTGAAGGAAACAATAAATAACCATCAAAAAATAATCAAACAAAAAACTAATCAAAATGTACCCTATTTCAACGTTTTTGAACTACAAACAACAGTTTATTTATCTTTTGAATAATAACATGATTTCTCTTACGTTTCATTTTTCTCATACGTAAAACTGGCGTTAATTGTTTCCACGGAAAATTGCTATATTCGTTTTAAATTTATTCTAAAGAACAAAACCATTCTGTTTTATACGTAAAGAAGATTTAAAGCGAAAGAAAATCACCGTTTTGTTTAATTTAATCCTACCTTCACTCAATTTCCATTGGTATTCTATTGTCATAATTCCAACAAAGCCGGCCGAAAATAAAGGCGAAATGGTCGATAGCGCCCCTAACACTCAAAATCTGTTAAGCATACAATTTGCATGCCTTCACTCATTAAAATTCATTTATGTGTATCCCTTAAGCTTTGTTCTTTTTGCCTTAGGATCTTGTCAAGTTGCTTGGTCGCTATATTTATTGGCAGCTGCGATCCTGCTCCTAATAGTGTGTTTCGGTCTAAGTTTTTGGACATCTCGGGTGGGAGTCGGGTCGTTCCGGATCTGAGTATACAGCGCAGGCGCGCTGCCAAACATCAACGCAAGCGCGCTATTATCAACAACATAGGAACGAAACAATTCGACCAATCGCAAAGCGTCGTGGATGTGGATAATGTGACGTCAGTCAGTGAACATGCCCGAAAGGCTACGATTGGATCCGATTGCTTACTACTCTCACCCGCTATGCTAGCCTTGGATGGGTGTCGGTTCGATGAATTACCGAAGTGTTTAAAACAGGCTGATGCGAAATTTTGAGTTTATTTCAAATGGAATGTAGCATACAAATGTAATATACTATAAATATAATTAGATCTAAAAGAACTGTTGATGGGTGTACATAATTTAGCGTACGCCATTGAAAGTACATTCATTTTGATTTGCCGATAATACCATGACCAAAACACGTCGTCCAGCAGTGGCACATTTACTTCTTGCAAAATGAAATAACCATACCATTGTGACCTTCCNCTAGCCTTAGCACTTAACAATTAACCGAACTTTGGATCAGTATTGACAGACCGATGCTTAGCTGCCCGGTATTGGACCAAACTTAGCGAAACGATAATGTATCTTGCCTTGACACTTGAATATTGGCCGAACTTTGGACCAGTATTGACAGGTCAATTCTTGGCTGCCCTAGTTTTGAAATAATTAGATCTAAAAGAACTGTTGATGGGTGTACATAATTTAGCGTACGCCATTGAAAACTGTCGTTTGAAAATGTGAGATTGAGTATGATAAGAGCTCTATTTTTCTCATTTAAAAAGTTGTAGAGATAAACGAAAATAAGTGGTTTATTTAAATTCGTTGTAGATTCATAGATTGTATAGTCTACATTTAAAGTGCAAAAAATGAATTTGTAGAGATACATAACACCCCACACCTCCAACCTTGTCGTTTTGTAACTATCGAAAACAGTTTCAAACAATTACCTTTATGTGCAACTTCAATAAGTATATTGAAAAATTCATTTCATTTTGGTGTAGTATTACAATTGTATTATTTCAATTTAAAGACATGGTTACCTCCTCCTCGGAATATTTTTTAAAAGCAACTGTTCGATAATTTAAGTTTAATGATGCAACTACAATATGTGTCACCTGTGATATTTCTTAGTCTTTCTCTTTCTACTTGTTTATAACAACGCTAAATGTTTAAATAATAAAAGTCGTACAGTATTATTACAAACATCTTATTATCACCCTATTCACCTAAGCCTTTAACTGAGCAAAAGTGGGCATTTCGTTCAAGAAAACTTCAATCATATCTACTTAAAAAAAAAGAAAAAACAAAAATTCGCACTTAGTGATAGGCTACTTTAAATTAAACGGGACTATCACATTATTTTATAAAATCTTCAATTCATATACCTATTGGACATACACTTTTGCTCCGTCCTATCCTAAGCCAATCTACTCATGTCCCTAAAACTACAGCAACAACTTGCTAACAGTGCCTACAAGTGGTCCTCCGTGCCTCAGAAGGTATCTTACCATTATGTCTTCTTTTTGTTGAAAACCATTCGAACGTGCACTATTCCTTATTTTAGATCTCTACCACCTTTTTCATCCTAAAAGTTATCTGGCTTTCTACCGAAAATAGCTTCTTCTAATTTTTTATCTCCAATTTTTGCACTTTAACACTATTTTCACCTCCCATAGGTACCAAATTTTTGTTTCATTTTTATTTACTTTCATTACTCTTTTGTCTATACTGCTTGCATTTTATTTAACACTGTCTTTAGCTCCTCGTTGCTATTTGTTAATACTGCTATATCATTCGCAAATTTAAGCATGCTAATCTTGTGTTTAGTTGGGACGAACAAAATTGGCAATAAATTACCTGTGAGAATGGACGTATCTTCTTTCTAGTTTCCACTTGGGACTGTAGTCATTTGCTGCATTTTGAACACGCCTTTGTTTAGTCAGGAAAAGCTCCATGAGTAGTACAGTAGTGATAACCGAATAAAGTAAGCGGTACAGCGGTTAAAGGTTGCTTAGGTACGCAAAGATCAGGGTCGGCTTTATAACTGCCTGGTTGGAATAACATCTTTACCGAGCGGCATGGCCTAGAGGTCTAGACCATTGCTTAGCATTCGGGAGGACGCCGGTTCGATTCCGGGTCTGTCCGTCTGCTTTGGTCCAAGTTTTTCTGTGGTTTCCTTGGATCACTTAGGCAAATGCTGAGGCAGTAATATTCCACAGATAATCTTTCACTCTCTTCTGTCTTCATTTCGTCCGTCTCATCTTTCTCACCCGAACCACCACCCACCCATTCCCACGATTCCTGAAAGCAGGCTGAAGAGGGCCTTCCGCCCTACCTTCCGGCATAGCTCGGAGGTACTGCCCGCCCACCAGCACTACTGGCTGGTGGGAATGAAATACCCAAAAGTTTTTTTTTTTAATAACATCTTTAAACAAGCTTTCCTAAATTCCTGAGAATGTTGAACTTTTATGAAGTCCGATTTGGACAACATGCTCAAATTCTGCTTATCTGCATCTCTTTCTTACACATTAATTTTGGTGTAATGTTATTATTTTTCTTTATTAGTGTCCGCTGCAATTCCTACCTGTCATCTCTTTTTTATATTTACGATATTCCCTACAATGTCTGTCATCGGTAAAAGTAGGCGTTCTGTCTACATCCGCTTGATAGGTTGAAAGAAGAAAGTAAACACCACAGTTTTATTGCTGACTGCCAGTTTTGAACGTACCAACTATGTGCAGGTATGTTAATACAATAATACAGCTCATTTGCAATCAGTTGAACCTTAATATGCATTATTCAAAAGGTAGCATATTATGAGATATTTCGGTTTTTATGTTTACTGCTAACAGTGTTTGTGTAGAAAAAAGATATTAATTTTTGCTAACGTTTTAAGTTGTCGCGATAGTGTACATCCTTGGTGTACATGTAGCATAGGATATGCAACATAAATTTCGTTACTTATTATACGTGCGCAAATCATTCACTGGACTGACGTTAACCCGCAGTTACCAAGACCAATCCGTTTTGTATAACACATGTACGCCTTATATGTTTTATTAAAACACTAACTTTGTTTTTTATCACTTCTATTTTCACAATCCTTGATAATTGTAACAGGGTTGCCGAAACTATAGTCGTAAGATTGTGAAAAGAAAAATGATAAAAAAATAAAGGTAGTGTTTTACAATCAAATCGCACGACATTTCTCCACGAGTCCCACGCTCGTCCCCTCAATCTATGATCAAACCTTAATGTATATTATGATTCAATCGATTGCAAAAAGATTCTACTAATATATCCCCAAAGAATTACGTCAATTTTCTGGTCACTCTGTAAAGGTTAAAAATTAGCGGTGGCAATGTGTACTATTGTCCATTCCTAATTTTTTACTTCTCTAGGTTGTTGATCAAATTTTATAACTACCTGTAGCTCTTCATACTAACCAGATATCATCCTTACGTAAATCCTTACTTCATCTTTTGTAGATTCACCTTATCCTACGTATGCGCTCTTTCTCTTTTCTGTCGTCTACTCTGCTATTATCTGTAAAACTAAAACGCGTTCCTCTATTTCTTCTAAACCTAAATTGATCTTCAGGGAAGTAACTAATTGTTGTAAAATTCAACGCATCTGTCTAAATAATGCAAAAGATTAGCGTTCGGAGTGCTACACATTACACATTACCATCATCTGATATTGACACTATGATACAGTAAGAATGTAGGTACCCCTGTAGGAACTTGGTTGCCAAGCTTGACCCAGGACTGAACAGCCAATGCTGAACCAAGAGTTAGAAAATATACTAACCTAAGATTGTCAACTAATATTGACCCGAACATGGCAAATGCTTGGTATGTAACTTCGGCCCAAGCCTGGTTGCCAAGCTTAGCCCACGACTGAACAGCCAACGCTGAACCAAGATTTCGTGAACAATACTTACCTCAAATTGACAGCCAATATTATTTGGACCAGTATTGACAGGTCAATTCTTGGCTGCCCTAGTTTTGGACCAAACTTGACAAAATGTTATTATACCTAGCTACGGTATTTGAAGATTGACCAAACTTAGGACCAGTATTGTCAAACCCGTACTTGGCTGCCCAGTATTAGGCCAAACTTGGCGAAACGTTAATAAACCTAGCCTTAGCACTTAACAATTAACCGAACTTTGGATCAGTATTGACAGACCGATGCTTAGCTGCCCGGTATTGGACCAAACTTAGCGAAACGATAATGTATCTTGCCTTGACACTTGAATATTGGCCGAACTTTGGACCAGTATTGACAAACCAATGATTAACTGCCCCATTATTGGACTAAACTTGGTGAAACGTTAAAGTGTCTGGCCTTGGCATTTAAAGGTTGGCCGAGCTTTGGACCAATATTAACAAGGCGATGCTTGATTTCCCACTACTGGTCCAGGTTTGGGCTTGTCGTAAAGACTGACATTTTCCTACATGAGTAGGCAGTGTATTACAACGTTTAATAGCTACTTGGCCGCGTCTATTCAAAATCAACACATACATTCAAGTAAAACCAAATTCAATACCAAAAGTAGGTGCCTGTTTCTATGTTCCATTTTAAGTATCTTTCTCGAAATACTAATTTCTACTTATATTTGGACAATTTTTAAATTAGAATGAGTTAATTTTTGAATTAATTTTTACCACTATAGATAACCCCAAATTAATGAAGAAAAACTTTAGTCATGTTAAGCAATTGAACTTTCCCATCAATTACAGTATTCTTAAGGATTAAGTGTGTGGGGGGAGAGAAGAGAATATTGGGGAGGGAAACCGTCGAAGTAAGTGATCCACCTAATAAGTAATAATAAGTGGACAGACAAAGCGTTCACTCGGCATGAACCCATTGACGGTCACAGGTGGCGTATAGAAAAATGACATACCTGGACAGTGCCGACCTAAAAGGGGAACGAATACCGAAATTGATGTGCAGTTCCTCATCGCGCAACGACTCTTGCGTTTTTCATGACGCTTATCAGATCCGTCCTCTTCGAGTTAAGTTTTTATTTCGATCTCTATGAGTGCAGTCATCTACACTTGATGCACATGTTAAACTGAGATAAATAATTGAAACGGTAAGAAAAGTACATGTACGTGAATATATTTTATTCCTGCTTAATACAATACTTGTCCTTTATATCAGTTGAATTTGAATTTGCATTTTTAGCTCAGATTAATTTTACATTAATGATTGCACATAGTGTAAAATAAATTACAGAGGTAAAGTTATGCCTATGAGTAAAATTAGTTTTTAAGAATTAAACTTACGACTAAATTATAATAGAATTTTTNAACCTACAATGGCTTTTCCCTTACCTTAGTCATGTTAAGCAATTGAACTTTCCCATCAGTTACAGTATTCTTAAGGATTAAGTGTGTGGGGGGAGAGAAGAGAATATTGGGGAGGGAAACCATCGAAGTAAGTGATCCACCTCTAAAGTAATAAGAGGACAGACAAAGCGCTCACTCGGCATGAACCCATTGGCGATCACATGTGGCGTATAGAAAAATGACATACCTGGACAGTGCCGACCTAAGAGGGGAACGAATACCGAAATTGATGTGCAGTTCCTCATCGCGCAACGACTCTTGCGTTTTTCATGACGCTTATCAGATCCGTCCTCTTCGAGTTAAGTTTTTATTTCGATCTCTATGAGTGCAGTCATCTACACTTGATGCACATGTTAAACTGAGATAAATAATTGAAACGGTAAGAAAAGTACATGTACGTGAATATATTTTATTCCTGCTTAATACAATACTTGTCCTTTATATCAGTTGAATTTGAATTTGCATTTTTAGCTCAGATTAATTTTACATTAATGATTGCACATAGTGTAAAATAAATTACAGAGGTAAAGTTATGCCTATGAGTAAAATTAGTTTTTAAGAATTAAACTTACGACTAAATTATAATAGAATTTTTTTTGCAAATAAATTCATCAGAACTAAGTTCAGAGTTTTTTTCTCTATTCAATTCATACTCCGGGTGATCATGAACACATGAACTAAATTACAATGTTTACAATTTAATATTTTATGGAATATAAAAATTTAAATTACAATTATTAATAACGACGTGATTTAAGTAGTACATATTACTTAAATACAACAAAAAATTGACTATTACGTTGTTTCAGCTATCAACTCTCTTCAGTTTATGACTATTGATTTCAGTACTGATACCATCGATAACTGGAACTTATTTTAAAATTAAAAAAGAAATCAATCACTTTGAAGAATTTCTTTCAATTTCGATAAAACTTCCACATTTCTAGCAGCAATAATTCCGTTAGAATGACAACACACTTCTATTTTATTATCTCCGGATTCAATATTTTTATAAACGATTGAAGATTGGTTTCCACAGCATTGTACAATATCTCCTCCGAGAGACATTAGGATAGCTTGGCAACCGCACGTGTCCCACATAAATGTCGTACCCTTTGATAATACGTAAGCATCCACTAAACCCAGGATGACCACAAGAAGTTTGTAACCAGCTCCGGCTGCTTCTATTGTTGAAAAGTTGTTCTTAAACAGTTTCTTTTTAATATTTTCGTCTTCACTGCTGCTTATGCAAACTACATTTGTCAAAGTACTATTTATAGAGGGAGGAAATGAATTCATTCGTGTGGTAGCAACTCCCCAAAGACATCTTCCTGACCACCTAAAAATTACAAATAAACGATGGTACGTACATATGGAATGTCAATAGAGTAAAGTGACATATTACGCAAAAAAAAAATACTGAATGTTTAATGAAAGTTCATACATGAAGGGTGTCCCAAAATTAGCCCAAGATTTGAATTCGTGCAGTAAAGTGCTGGCAACCCTATTAAGTAAAACCATTCAACAGCTGACAGTTTAGGATCAGTAAAATGGAGCGTTATATAATAGAACAACGAGTTTTTATTATTGAACAATATTTCAGAAATAATTAAAATATAACTACCACAGTTCGAAGATTTCGTAAAAAATATGGTCATAATAGTAATTTTACTTCGTCAACTGTAAAGAGAGTAATTGAAAAATTTTATGCTAAACACATTGGTCGTCCAAAAACAGTCGTTCAAATGTCAATATCGAAGCAATGCGTGAGAATGTTGGTAAACATGAATATCAATTCAGCGACGTGGACAAGAATTTCAAATTTCCAGAAGAGTATAGTTACTGAAGATCCGTGTCTCCATGCTTACAAAGTTCAACTGACACAAAAACTGAAGCTCAATGGCCGTGGAGAGCGAAGAAAGTTTGGGTTTCAAAGAACCCACATGTGGTTATCGAAAAACAAATGCAACCCCAGAGTGTCATTGTTTGGTTCGGATTTTGGGCTTGAGGCATCACTGGACTGTACTTTTCAATATAAAGCTGGTCAAGCAGTGAATGTTACCTACTGGTGATACAGTTCTTTCTGCCTAAATTGAATGATATTGTTGAACGACATGTGGTTTGAACATGACAGTGCCATATATTAGCCCGTGAAAGAATTCAATTCGGCATGAAACATTTCCTGGCCAAATGTTTACCAACGCTGGAAATCCACAAATAATACTTAGTGAACGTATTGAATTAATTTGTTTGATTTCTACTGAAGCGGACAATAAAAGTTGCTTATTTCATCTCGCATAATCTTAACAGCAAAAGAAGCATGAGCCAACAATTGATTTAGCAGTTGGAGACCTGGAGCAGAAAAATGAAAAAACATTCTCAGAGTTCACTTTCTAAAAATCGAAGCAATGTTAACATTGTGAGCATTTGTCGACTTCATTAGAAAAATAAATGATGGATCACCGCTCGACCTTACAAAAATGTTTAATTATCATCAGCAGGTAAGGATGAGCGATACGTAGAGGGCACAATGACGAAAATTCAAATTTCAAGGCAATTTTGAAAGCATGAGCAAAAACTGAATCCTACCTAAAATGAACTGACCATACATGGTTGCACCACGTCATGAAACAACAAACGTTGCTAGAACATAATAAATTTCTATTTATTTTTGCGTCGTTTCTTCGACTCTCACTGTTTCGGAATATTTTATGGGTATTATTCGAAGTACAAAGCCATACATGTTAGTTGACATTGTCAAGAATGTGCTTCTTCGTTTTCATTTACCGCTCTAAAAGCTGAGATGAAGCCTCAACTGTTTCGAGAAAAATGTCGGACTTGCTACAACGCACCTAGGAATGAGTCTCGAGCTCTTTCTGTCCACTGTAATGCTCAAAATCTCAACCTTCTTATCCAGAATGGCTGTTTTTCTTCACAATTAATTTCATTTGTAAGGTTGTTGAAATCGAAGTAAAGACTTGTTAATTGTGATTAAACAGGTTTACAATATTTATTTGCATTAACTGGTAGGTACAGGTTTTCCAAAAATGTGGGTGGAGTGAAAATTCAAAGGTAAGCAGACAGAGACAGAACATGAAAAATATAGAAAATAGATGTAGAAAGCTATAAACTGTTCTGGTGAACCATATCGACAAAACCCTTTACAGTAAAGTAATAAATTCGAAGTTGAACCATCTCTGCTGGATGGAAAATTTTAGATTTATAATATATAAAATGGTTCGTGTTCTTGGAGGTAATAAACAACATTATAAAGAAAGAAGGAACAGATCTTAAATTCAGAGTAAATCAATTCTATTATTTTTACTTTTGACTAACCTACAGTTCTTTGGGACGGAGTACGCAATGACCCTCCGAACTTACACACCACCACCCGACATAACCTACCCTAACTTTTCTTCTCTTTTCCGTATACCAGCATGACTTACACAAGAGTACTTTCATTCCTGTACCATTCTAACAATAACTACCACCAAGAGAACCGCACTCTTGGAGGGACTTTCCCTTGCGGAAGCCTCAGCCCTAGCGAACAAGCTGCTGCCACGCAGCCTGGGTCTTCTCCTTCTGCGGCCGCAACCATGTTACCGCTGAATATAAGGCAAAGAACAGAAAAGACGCAATTCCCTCCTGTGCTAACTGCAAAGGGAACCATCTCGCAACAAGTATGGCTGTCCCAAAGTACCTAAGGAAACCGTACCACCCAAAAGAAAACCCTCCATTGCTCCGGTCACACCAAACAGTCTTCAGCAACCCCCGTTACAACCCTCCCCAAAAGTTTTACGCCAGGGCAATGAAAGCAGCTCTCCCCCACTCCTATCCCAAAGCCCAAAGCAACGCCCAGCATTTCTTCAGCGCAAAATGCTTCCCCAACTTTAGAACAAAAACTCCAAGTGTTCGTGCAAATGTTGGTAGCCGTCATAGTCACCGCACTCCAAACATCCAACCATGGATAAAACAAACCACTCCAATAATCTTCAAACAGTTACCTGGAATGCTCAAAGCATTAGAAGTAATTTGACTGAACACTTCCTCGAGGAACAGACAATCGGTGTTGCCTGCATCACCGAAACCCACTAATCCCAGAAAATCAAAGTTTTCGTCCCTAACTTCACTTCCTATAAAAGGGATCGTGAAAACTTCCGAGGCGGTGGCTTATCCGTCCTCGTAAGGAACTCTTTAAACCACAGGCCTATATCTTTGGTCACCAATTCATTAGACGCAGTTGAAATTGAAGTCCCGTTAACTAACCGGCCCCCTCAGAATCATTTCCATTTATTCCCTCCCATCTGAACTCAGCCCCTTGCGCGTACGGAATTCCCAACGGTGTTCTCTGAAAGTTCTGTCATGAAAACACATAACCGCACATCACAAACTATCATGTGGCTCCACCACTTTTCCCTTTAGCCTGGAAAGAGGTCAACGTCGTCTGTCTCCCCAGAAAAAGGAAGCCCCTCAGTTCTCCATCCATCCTCCTGGACCAGCTTCTTCACCACGTAGAGCGAAACAACCTTCTCCCCGACTTCCAACACGGTTTCCGCAGTCAGCACCCTGCCTGCGATCAACTTCTCCGTGTATCCAAACCCATTTCTGACAATTTAAACAAGCACCGTCACACTTCCATGCTTCTGCTTGACATCCAGCAAGCCTTCGATCGAGTTTGTCACGAAGGTCTCATCCCTCAGCACCCCGCATTTCCTAATCGAGATTATCCGATCCTTCCTCTCTGACAGAAACCTCCGTGTCCGCGTTAGCGTTTATCCCCAAGTATACCCGTCACTGCCGGTGTCCTCCAAGCCTCCAAGCTGTCACTTCTTCTGCTCAACCATTCCTGCGCACACTTGCCGTCCCACACCTTGACAATCATAGATCTTTACGCCGATGACATCGCCCTCATAAACTCCGCCCAAACCATTCTCCAGTGCTCCACAAAACCACCCCATCAAATGCAGCAACCCCTACCTCGGCGTCGACTTTGACAAAACACTGAAATGGCGAAAACGCATCCTTACCAGCCATGCCAAGACCCTAACCGCCTTTGTCTCCCTCAAGCCCTTCTTCCAAAACAGCTCCGTCTGCCATCAAACAAAAATCCTTGCGCTCAACGCAATTTTCAGAAACATTTGCACCTATTCTATTCCCATCTGGTATTGTGCCGATTCCCACCGCCTATAAATCCTTCAAGGCACTTACATGCGGACTTTTGGTTCCATACTCAACTACCCCTAGTTCATCAGAAATACCCAAATTCTGAAACAAACTAGTCTATCTTCACTCCCCGAGGCTAAAGAAGTCATGACTTACGTTCAACACCTCTCGTGAATCTAAGTTCAATATAATTTGTCTGAAAAGTAACGAACTCATCAATGAATTTTATACTGAAAACCCCAATTTGCCGTCACAATGAAAACTGCTAAACGAATAAGAATTAGCTCTTTTGAAAATCATGTTTTCATTACCCCAAAAGACTATTATCAAAAATTATATTTTGAAATATTTAATCAGGTAATTTAAATTTAAACGGAACCATTATAGGATCACTCGTGTGTCTGTCTGTCCGCTTTTTCTTTGACGAGTCCATTTAATATAGACTCGGTCAAATTCTTCAAAGCATTAAAGAGTGTTGTTGTTGAAAAACAATAGACGTAAAAAAAATATANATTTAAATTCATTAAAAATGTTTTTCAGTTACCTACTTATTATTTTTTTTAGACATATAGTTCATGCGTGTAAACTTTTGAAAGTTGCAGTTCCCAATTATTTTCCAAAGCTGAATGGGGCACCAAGCGCCACCTAACGAAAAGCATCCATAACTAATCAGGTAATTTAAATTTAAACGGAACCATTATAGGATCACTCGTGTGTCTGTCTGTCCGCTTTTTCTTTGACGAGTCCATTTAATATAGACTCGGTCAAATTCTTCAAAGCATTAAAGAGTGTTGTTGTTGAAAAACAATAGACGTAAAAAAAATATAACGTTTTATAAGGGAGATTTCGATGATTTCAGATTGATGAGTTACAAAGATATGGCGTTGAGTATTATGAGACCGAAAGAAAGCAACCCCAAAGCATTGAAAGATATAAAATTCTTTCGGGAAGACAATTGGTATATAGGACTTGTTCCCGAATATTTACGCTTCGTTGACCTTCTCCTGACCATTCCAAGATCATCCTGCTCGAACGAAAAAAGTTTTTTCTGTTGAGTTAAAGTTACTTGCATTCTACAATATTGCAAGATCGACTAAATCACGTAGCTATCTTGCACTCTTATCCAGTTTTATTTTTGTATGTAAGAAAATTATAACTAATAAAAAGTGCATCTTT